TATGGGTTTGGCTGGAAAAAGGAAGTTACACAGTATATCTACATTTTGCTGAAATAATGTTGAGAGATGATCAAAGTTATGCTAGTCTTGGAAGGCGTGTATTTGATATCTACCTTCAGGTACATGGTTTAACAATATTGTTCCAATAGCTACTCAGTGTTTGATAAAAAAGAAAGGGTCCTATAGGACCACAGACCACTATCAAAGTTTTTCCTTCTTTTTTTTCAATTAAAATATTTAGAATCCGGAGGGTCCTATAACCAAACAGGTGATTAGCAATGAATTTTGTTGGCATTGTTGTGTAACTTTTGCTAGCAAATGAATGTCGATGCAGAGTGTCCATGTGTAATTTTATTAGTTCAAGAGATCTTTGATCTTTCTTTTACTTCAATTAACAGAGCTGGAGATGTTAGACCTACAAACGGGTTTATTTACCTTAAGACAAATCAAAGCAGCCACAAATAACTTTGATGTTTCCAATAAGATTGGAGAAGGACGGTTTGGTCCCGTGTACAAGGTATGTTGCATAGTATAACAATTAACAAATCTTCTCAAGTGTTATGCTGTTACTATGATGTTACATATTTGTTTCAGAAAATTCTTTTTCAACTTCTTACAAAATGCAGGGATGTTTACCCAATGGGACATTAATAGCAGTAAAGCAACTTTGATCTAAATCAAAGCAAGGGAATGGTGAGTTCTTAAATGAAATAGGCATGATATCTGCTTTGCAACACCCTAATCTTGTTAAACTCTATGGTTGTTGTGTGGAGGTGCTTTATTTGGTATATGATCTACTTCGGATTGCTATTTATGCCATGTTTCACATTTTCTAACTTAGCACATGACTATGTAGTACCATTGTCTTATTCTTATTAGCACATGACTATGTAGTACCATTTTCTAACTTAGCACATGACTATTTATGCCATGTTTCACATTTTCAACAGGCACATTTGTTGAAGGAGAGGGGTGACCTAATGGAGCTAGTTGATAGAAGATTGGGTTCAGATCAATGTGGCTCTCCTATGCACGAATGTCACTTCAAACCTTAGACCCTCCATGTCGTTGGTGGTAAGTTTTCTTGAAGGAAGGACTGTGGTACCAGAATTTGTTTCAGATTCAAGTCAAGTAATGGATGAAAAGAAGTTGGAAGTAATGAGGCAGTATTACTTACAAACACAAAGTCAGTGCTTAGTAAGTGATGGGCCATGGACTGCCACATCTTCATCAGCTGTAGACCTTGATTCTTCCTATTGGGAGGAAAGAAATTAAGAGTTTATCAACTGCCAATAATATATATGCCTTGTCATGAAACTGTGATGCATTTTAAATAGAGTACTCCATCCCTATTTATAAATCCTGTTGTCATTCTAAGTGTTGTATTTATCCAATATATCCGTTTTGTTGAATACAGAGTGCTCATACAGTTTTTGATAGTTAAACAGCTTCATCATCTGTATAATGAAAAGATTTGACCCTCTAAGGTCACATTCAAATATTATAACTATTTCATTCCATTCAAAGTTGTTGGTTTCTTGAATGTTATAAAATTAATTGACTTAAAAATTATAAGAGCTATGTTAACAACATGTTAGTTGTTGGTTCTCCTATTCTTGCATCTAGTTTGCACAGATTAAGCACCACTAAAGGATAGAATTATCATACCATAGAAAACAATATGCATCGTTTCATCCTTTATGTATGTTTTAGTCTTTTTAGTTTTTATAGCTTTAAAGAGGTCCTTTTAGTGACCAAACTTTTGCAATATTGGTCAAAATCTAAACCTGTTTAAAAAAAATACTAAAATATATAACAAAATTATAATAAATTTTTTAAATATTTTTTCTAATTTTTATTAACTTTTAATTAATTTTTAATTAATTATTGTATTTATAAAATAATTAAAATAAATTTTAAATAATAAAAATGTAAAAAAAAACTAAAAAAATAGGGATGTCTTATCCCAGATAGACATCACAACAAAATTCATACTTGCGGATACCCACTCGAAGTTGACAGAGAAAATCCGCTTTGACTAAGTTTAGATTCGGGTTTGAATTTTCTCTGATTATAAAATATGGAATTTTCTAGAATTGAAAAAGAGTGTCAGCTCCGTACTGCTCATGCATTGCATGTGCAATCTTATCACCTAACCAGACAATTGAAGCAGAGTTTATGTGATCCAACTCAAAGTTTCTGCACTTTAATTCAATGAAGCTAACCTTTTACTAGTACCTTCTCTTCCCTTTTTCATTAATGGAAATAAAACATTGTCAAATGCAAATGGAGTAGTTTCAAATTCAAAAACTTTTTGAAATTTGAAAGAGTCTCCACCATTCAACGTACTCATATGACTACTGACACAAGATAATGACAAATAGGTACTACTAATGTACAAGAAAATTGTGTCAAAGATAAGACTTTATAAACTAATTATACAATTAGAGTTTTTAATAAAATATAAATATTTTTGTCATAATGTTGAATTATTTACTTCCAGAACTATGTAGAGGAAACTTGGTTCAGTTGGGTCCACTTGAAATAACCGGATGCTGTCCCGACAGATTACTCTAGAATATGTCACTTTTTGACCAACTAAATCTGTATAAAATTTGAGCCTAGAGAAATAGAAAGAAAAAAAAAAGAGAAAATAACAAATTATGGTACCCCAATGTAAAAGCCACCTTTCAACAACAACACAAAAGAACACTAAAAAATACTGAATATAAACGCCACAAACACAAACACAACAAGGGACATACAAGACCACAAACATAAATACCAAACACGAAAAGCACACACTCTGAAACTCTATAACAAAGATTCTCACACCAAAGAAATATCTCAAAATATCAAACTGAAATAAGAATGAATGATAGCACCACCTCTAAATTCAGAGAAATAATTAGGAAGCAATCTTAGGCTTCACTATCTGCCTAATCACATGATCTTGCTGTCAGTATCGCTAAAAAAGATAGTGATCTATAAGATGTGGTTGTATTCACTTTCAAAAAAGACAAATAATCATGATTGTTGAAAAAATAAATATAAATGATTTTCACATCACTTTTTTTTTTATATAAGAGACATATAACGATAATAATAAAATAAATAATCTAAAATCATGTGTCTAACCGCATTAGTTTGTGGTGGTAAAATAGACAGTCTGTTCCGTTTAAATTTATCCTATTTAAATTTGTCTAAAATCAGAGCGACGAGACAGATTAATTTAGACGTCTGAATATAAAAACCAAATCCGTTTTATTTATTAACAAATTGGAGGATTGATGGACTGGTACGTCAATTTTTTATTTTATTTTTTTATTTTCAATTTAATTTATTATATAATTTAAAAAAAATTTAAATATTATGAAAAAATTCGATAAATGAAACTTTAAAATATCTTAAATCAAAATAAATAAAATGAATAAAGATCAATTACAACAAAAAAATAACAAAATAAATTCAATCATAATAAAAAAATATCTAAATAAATAAGTAAACATTCTAATCCTATTTAAAAACTAATTACTAAAGAATCAATTTCTGACTTTATCTCAAAACCAAAGGGATACCACTGTAGGGGCAATTCCAAGGAACATTTTACTTGGAATACATCTTTGTGAGAGACACACCACTTGTCCATCTAAAACCTTAAGGTGATAGATGAGTGGGTTCTCTCATATATAAGTGTTCAATCTTCCCTTTTATAATCAATGTGGGACTTCTTCTTCACACTTGATTCTCAACAAACTTAAGATACATAGTCGAAAATCTCAATTTAACTCATCAAAAATGACAAGTCAAAAGGATTGATCCAAAAGACTCGGTCCGATTTGCCACCCTAGCATTAGGAACGACTTTAAACAACTTTGTTTAGGTTTGCTTAAGTGTTTTCATTAAAACTTAAATTTGCCAAACTTTCAAAACTCAATTTTTAGAGTCCGTTTGTTTTGCTTTTTTTTTTTTAATAATTTTTATAATATTATATAATTTTGTGTAAAAAAAAATTTACAAAAAAACTTTTTATAAAAACTTCAATTAAAAATTTGTTTTGAATAATTGTTTTTAAAATATTATTTTAAGATTTCACCTTTTTTTTTATATCAAAATTTTAAAAAATCACTTAATTTTAAAACTATTTTAAATAAATTTTCATAAAAATTATTTTTGAAATATAATTTTTTTTAAAATTGTAATTTTAACTATATATTAATCTTCAATTTAAAAAAGACGTAAATAGAAAAACTTCTAATATTTTGAAAAACCTATTTTCAAAAATACAAAAAAATAATTATTTTTTTAAAGCTGAAACAAACAACTCTAATTATTTCATTAAGAATCAAAATTCACACCACAACGTCTATATTACGCATCACAACAATCCTATTAATCACAACAGCATTTACAACTTCAACCACAGTTTAAAACCATTCTATTTTTCAGCTCTCCTCAGCCTACTTATACGTGGCCGAAGTGAATTTGAATTGTTGATTATGCTTGCTTTTAAATTGATTTTTGGACTAGCAAGTGAGTTGAAGTGGGATAAAGAATCTTACATATATGGTACTTAGTTAAGAAATAATTTACCATATTAGGAGCTTAGAATGGCATGCCCCTCTTCAAATTTTGCACAAGAGGATCATCAAGGTTTCTTTCATTGCATGCTTAGTAACTTTGTTTCATTTCTGCCTCAACATGACATAATTCCTTCATAATAAAGAGAAATTATAATAGAAGAGTACTAAGTTACTTTTCCATGTTAATAAGCTGAAAAACAATCCCAATCTCATTGATATAAGGACATTTTGTATCAATAAGTATATATCACATTCCTCTTAATTATTTCTTTATCAATAAACTCTTAAATATGTAATGTAACCAAAGAAAAAACAGCCACCAAACAAAATCATTAATGAATGAAGCAAAGTAGAAAAAAAAAATCAGAAATTAATGCAGGCTCATATTTAGGACTAGAAGCTAGATAACCAAGCTGCTCAACCAACATCTTCAACATCTAGTACATTTTTATCTTGAATATTACCTTCATTAAACAAATCTTGCCAAAATTCTTCAATATCAATCTCTTTATCTGTAATTTCAACTTGATTAATCAGATTAGTATCCTCTTCAAAATATTGATGTTGTTCAAGTTTAACAGAAGCTAAGCAATCTTCAGCATCATATCCTAACTCATCACCAACTTCAACATTACTAGGCCCAGCTTGATCAATAGGTCTTCTTCTCTTCATAGAAATCATCTCCTCTAACTCTTTTCTCCACTCATTCTTTTGAACCAACTGTTGCAAGAAATTAGGATTTTGCATTGCTCTTGCCAAGAAATTCATCATCTGTTTTTGTTTCTGTTCATTTCTTTTAACCCTTACTTCCATACCTTCAAGGTGAGCTATAGTATTCTGTTGCTGTTGTCTGAGTTTCATCAACTCAACCATTAGAACTTGTCTGTCACGCCGTAACCGATCGACTTCTATTCCGTCTAATCCAAACCTTCCTACCTCAACACAAGAAGGGTCTAGAGCTTGTTGTTGCATTGCTTGTGATCTATTTGCTCTTCTCCTTCTAATGTTCTTCAAAAGGATTTTTTGTCCTCTTAGAAACATCTCATTGGCAAATTCCCATTTATCTGGATCAACCTTTTTAAATCCCTACAATATAAATATCAAACTTATAAAAACTAAATACGCACATATATCATATAAAAATATACAAATATATCATGAGTTATATACAACTCACATATGTGTTAAGTTGCCTGACAAAACTTGAGAAATTGTTGTGTTTGAAGAATCTTGGGAGAAGACCAACAGAAAAGGCTTGAGGATCCAACACAACAAAGCTGTTGTTGCCTGTGCTCCATGAAACTATATGATTTGTGGAAGGATCATCAACTATATCATATGTTTTTGTGAGAAATGGTGGAGGACCATTTTCATGAAGTCCTTCCATTGGTTGAGGACCATCAACCACACAAAAGGAAGAACTTCCTCCCACAAATTCATGCTTCACTCCACCATGATGAGGGTTCATGTTCATAAGAAAAATCTGTTTTCGGAAGTGAGATTTGAATAATGAGAACACAAACTAATGAGATTGTTCATGATTAATATACATAACTAAAAAGGAAAATCAGATCATATGTGCCTTGTATGTAGAATTTAAATCTCATAAAAAACAAGAAGTTAGAGAGGGGGCACACAAGCATAGAAAAAGAGAGAGTTATGCCAATTGGAATTTGGAAGTGTTTGGCATGGAGTGATGTGAAGGAACCATAAGCAGATGCATGTGTTGAGTTTAGTTATATTTATTATAGTTAGATGCAAGGTTTTAAAAACAGATCCCCTCGCGTCGCCGAAAGGTTTTTGCGTTTTCGATCAGTACGAGTGTATTGCGATCGTCGCGGTGTGAATTAAACATAATTTATTCTTCAATATAAAAAGTATTGATAATAATATCGATATCGGTATCTTTCAAAATTGTTTTGTCGCGGTCGTTTTCGCGGTTGCGGACCGTTTTTTAAAACTTAGTTAGATGTTACGTTGATGTCTTATTTATTTATTGTTGATTAATCTTTTTTTTATAATATTATAGGTAAATATGTTTTTAGTCTCTATAAATAGATCAACATTCAATTTTAGTTCCTCTCAATTTTTTCGTCAAACAATAATCTTTATAAAAAAATTTATCCACACTTTTGATTTTTATAGTCTATTTGTTCTAACAAAAGTTTACGTTGCACGCCACATCATGCGAAGAGATATTTAAAAATATATTAGAATATGTTTCAATATATTGAATTTAAAAATTTCTGAAGTCCCATATTATTAGAATATTTTTTTGATTGAAAAAATTATTTAGTCTCACATTGTTCATGTGAGAAATATTAACTATCTTATTTCACTATATAAGGAGTGCACATGTTTCATTTCAAATCACACTTAAAAACTATTGTATTAGTTTTTTCGTCCTCACTCTCATAATTCTGCGTCTCTCAAATTGTCGAAGCGTAGTCCGCGCGACTCAACCTAATAATTTATTTGATGGCAAATATTTTAAAATCTGAAATCAACACACACTGAATCGATGCTCACCAACATCATGAAAAACGTTAATTGATGCTCACGACTCAATGTCGTTGCTTCCATGCTTTCATTTTTCGGTTAACGAATTCGAAGCCATGAAGGTGGTTCCAAAATCATCTTGTTTATTCCCGTCGATGAAGCTTTCGCTGATGAAGCATAATTACTTTGACAATTTCATAATCAGAACCTTGTTTATTATGTTTCTTATGTTTGATCTGTCCCATACAAGAAATCTTCGTTTTTGCACCCCATTTGTTTGTGTTATTGTCTGAAGCTATTTTTGTTTTTGCATCCCATTTGTTTGTGTTATTGTCCGAAGCTATTTTTGTTTTTGCACCCCACGTGTTCGTGTTATTGTTTGAAACGATTTTTGTTTATGAGGAAATGAAAGATGCAG